TGCAGCCCGATCCATAAATATATAATCCTCACAACCAGACCCTCAGTCTCTCTTAGTCATTAAACCCACAATCAGACCCTCGGTCTATCTCAGTCATCAACCTCACAATCAGGCCTTCGGCCTCTCTCAGCCATCAACCTCACAGGTCACTCGGACTATCAGTAAAATAGGGCGTTCAACTCAAATATCATTTATAGTGTAAAAGTTGAGTAAATAAGGCTGAGTTAGGAAATTACTAAAATACAGCATGACTGAGTACAATCATTAAGTCAAAACAGTGAGGGAAAATAGTAAAAGTACCATAAGGGTCCAAAACAGTTGGCATGAGGCCCAAACATAGCATTCCACCCAAAACATAGAAATACTTTTCAAAACACGATGATATCAAATAGTTTTAAATCAAGTACGCGACTTAACAGTTGTACGAGATGGACCATGTCACAATCCCCAATGGTGAACGACTCCATGCTCGTCATCTAGCGTGTGCGTCACCTCAAAGTAGCACAACGATGTGAAATCCGGGGTTTCATACCCTTAGGACAGCATTTACAATCATTACTTACCTCGATCCGGTCCAAACTCTAGCCCGCGAAGCCTTCGCTTCTCGACTCTGCCTCCGAATGCCCCAAATCTAGCCAAAAGCAGATTCATACCATCAAAATAAGCTAAGGGAACGAAGCCGATTTGAAAATATCCAATTAATACCAAAAATCCAAAAATTGCCCAAACCTGACCCCTGGGCCCACGTCTCGGAATCTGATAAAAATCACATCAATAAAATCCTTATCCTCTCACTAGTTCATACATACCAAGAACATTAAAATCGGACATCAAATGACCATTCAAATCCCTAAAAGAATTTTTAAATTTTTCTTCCATTTTCCCCCAATTTCCACTCCAATTTCTCAAATTAAATGATGAAATTCAAGACTAAATTATGGAATTAAACCAAATATGAGTAAAGAATACTTACCACAATAGCTCCACTGAAAATCTCCTCAAATTTCACCTTCTCCTGAGCTCTACAATGGTTTTTGTGATATTGGACTTAAACCCTCGATTTTGAACTTAAACATTCTGCCCAGATTTCTCCTTCATCGCGAATGCGGCCTCACTCTCGCGTTCGCGTAGCACAAATTACACTGCCTCTCTAAAATACCCTTCGTAAATGCGGACACAGCCACGTGAACGTGATGCTTCGCCCGTCCATCCCTTTCACGAAATCGACACTAACCTTGCGAATGCATAGCACTAGGGCCTCGGGTCCAAGTCTGTTTCACCCTTCTACGCGAACGCGAACCATGCCACACGTTCGCGATGCACAATTTGACTCAACCTTCGCAAATGCGGGACCAACATCGTGAACGCGAAGGGTAACTAGCCTACCACACTCAACATCTCTTCGCGAACGCGAAGGCCCTCTCGTGAACGCAGAGAGCAAAACTCTGCAACACTGTTCTGAAAAAATCTACAACTTTCAAAATAAGAATTTTATCCGATTAACCACCCGAAACTCACCTAAGGCCCCCAGGACCTCCACAAAATATGCCAACATATCTCATAACATCATTCAAACCTGTTCCAATCTTCGGTACGCTCAAAACACATTAAAACACTAAATTTACATCGGATTCAAGCCTAAGAATTCCAAAAACTTTCAAATTTTGCTTTCGATCAAAAGGTCTATCAAACCTCATCTGAATGACCTGAAATTTTGCACACACATCAAAAAGGACACAACGGACCTACTCCAACTTCCATAATTCCATTCCGACCCCTATACCAAAATTTCACTTATCAACCGGAAAACACCAAAATTCCAATTTCGCTAATTCAAGTCTAAATATTCCACGAACCTCCAAAATATATTTCGATCATACTCCTAAGTCCCGAATCACCTAACGGAGCTAACCAAATCATAAAAATTCATATCCGAGATCATATACTAACAAGTCAAAACTTGGTCAAACCTTTCAAATTTTAAGCTTCAAACGGAGAACTGTCATTCCAATTCCATTCCGATTACCCTGAAAATCAAAACCGATAATTTACATAAGTCATAATATATCACACAAGTCTAGTCATGCCCGAGAACTGGTGAGCAAAGTGTAAAATCTCAAAATGACCGGTCGGGTCTTTATAGTGGTCCTAGGGGCCGGGTTTGGGTGAATTTCGGTATTTTGGTCTAAATTGAAAGATTTTCGTGTGGAATTGGTTCCTTGGACTATATTGATTGCATTGTAGTGATTTTGGTTAGAGTCAAGACGTTTGGAGGCCGATTCCAGAGGCAAGGGCATCGCGGAGTAGGATTTGGCTTGGTGAGGTAAGTAACGCTTCCAAACTTGGTTCTTAGGGTTCGAAATCCCAAACTATGTGTTACATGATTAGTATTGAGGTGACGCACATGCCACGTGATGGGCGTGCGGGCGTGCACCATGAGAATTGGGACCTGGTTCATTCCATGGCACCGTTTAGTGACTCTTTCATTTCGATATCCGTGTTTCGATCACATGATTAAGTAAATGAGCTATAAATTATGCTAGATATCATGTTAGAGCTTTACTCCGATACTATTGGGACCCAAGTGGTCGTTTCTTGCTATCATCTCACTAGTTTCATTGATATTCTGTGTTCAGTCTTATTCATGTATTTCATATCATGTCTCAGTCTCAATTGTTATTTATTGGCATATCATATCATTGTTCCGGGCTAGTTTTCATGGCATTGTGAGCCCGTGTGTGAAACTGGAGAGTGATGACAGAGTGATACTGAGAGCCTCATTATGAGTGATAGTTATGGGATCAGGCTGCACATCACAACGGCTATGTTGATGATTATGATAGCTCTTGGGCTGTAGGAGCCCCTCCAGAGTCTGTAACACACCCCAGTGAGCGGAGTTGATATTATTGAGGGATGGATCTTCCCTGGACATGGATCTTGTCTGAAGTATTTATTTCGGGAGATAGATCTTCTCCATAGGACTAGAATGGCCTTCCTCGGTACTGAGTGACTGTTGTCAGTGATGTGTGTCGACTTTCCTAGTTCCATGATAGGCGTCATCACGATCGGGTTAGTTTTGGATTGTGACAAGTTGGTATCAGATCCTAGGTTACATAGGTCTCCTGAGTCATGATCAGGTTTAGTAGAGTCTCGCGGATCGGTACGGAGATGTCTGTACTTATCTTTGAGAGGCTACAAAACCTTTAGGAAAACTTCACATTCTTGAATTCTTGTAGTGCGAATCTGTTGATTCTCGTAACTAAACTTGTATTATTCTATTCTCTCATAGATGGTAAAGACACGTGCTACTGGTCAGGATGGACGACCACCAATAACACCAATTGGGGACGTGAAAGGCCGTGGTCGCGGTCGAGGCCATGGCAAGGGCAGGGGTATAGCCCGTACGGCTGCTAGAGCAGCACCTACAGATTTACCAGCCGCCCTAGTTCATGATCACGTCCCAATTGTAGATGCTCCAGCGGGACCAGCTTAGGCACCGGCAGTGCCTATTGTTATCCCAGATCTTCAGGAGACCTTAGCCTAGATTCTGACCGTGTGCACCAGTCTTGCTCAGGCGGTCGTTGTTTCTACTAAAACAGCTACTTCCCAGGCCAGAGGAGGCATTTAGACTCCCACCAGCCATACACCTGAGCAGGTTGTTCAGGGACTACAGATACCGGAGGCACCACCAGCCCAGCCGATTGCACCTGCTCAACATTATATGGTTCCGGTCATGCCTGATGATGAGCAGCATAGACTGGAGAGGTTTGGTAGACTTTAGCCTCCAGCTTTCGGTGGTACAGAGGGCGAGTATGCACATGGTTTCTTGGACAAGTGTCAGAGGATTCTTCGTACAACGAGTATTTTGGAGACAAGTATGGTATCTTTTGCTACCTTTCAGTTCTCTGGAGCTGCCTTTACTTGGTGGGAGGCTTATGAGAGGCGTAGGCCTGCTGGTGCAATGCCCCTTACTTGACATCAGTTCTCCATTCTCTTTTTGGAGAAGTATGTGCTGCAGTCCCCCAAAGAGTAGTTGCGCAGACAGTTCGAGTACTTGCGTCAGGATAATATGACCGTGATGCAGTATGAGATGAGGTTTTCTGAGTTAGCCTGTCATGACCGACCCCTATACCAAAATTTCACTTATCAACCGGAAAACACAAAAATTCCAATTTCGCTAATTCAAGTCTAAATATTCCACGGACCTCCAAAATATATTTCGATCATGCTCCTAAGTCCTGAATCACCTAACGGAGCTAACCAAATCATAAAAATTCAAATCCGAGATCATATACTAACAAGTCAAAACTTGGTCAAACCTTTCAAATTTTAAGCTTCAAACGGAGAACTGCCCTTCCAATTCCATTCTGATTACCCTGAAAATCAAAACCGATAATTTACATAAGTCATAATATATCACACAAGGCTAGTCATGCCCGAGAACTGGTGAGCAAAGTGTAAAATCTCAAAATGACCAGTTGGGTCTTTATAGTGGGCTTAGGGGCCGGGTTTGGGTGAATTTCGGGATTTTAGTCTAAATTGATAGTTTTTCGTGTGGAATTGGTTCCTTGGACTATATTGATTGCATTGTAGTGCTTTTGGTTAGATTCAAGACGTTTGGAGGCCGATTCCAGAGGCAAGGGCATCGCAGAGTAGGATTTGGCTTGGTGAGGTAAGTAACGCTTCCAAACTTGGTTATGAGGGTTCGAAATCCCAAACTATGTGTTACATGATTAGTATTGAGGTGACGCACATGCCACGTGATGGGCGTGCAGGCGTGAACCATGAGAATTGGGACCTGGTTCATTCCATGGCACCGTTTAGTGACTCTTTCATTTCGATATCCGTGTTTCGATCACATGATTAAGTAAATGAGCTGTAAATCATACTAGATATCATGTTAGAGCTTTACCCCGATACTATTGGGACCCAAGTGGTCGTTTCTTGCTATCATCTCACTAGTTTCATTGATATTCTGTGTTCAGTCTTATTCATGTATTTCATATCATGTCTCAGTCTCAATTGTTATTTATTGGCATATCATATCATTGTTCCGGGCTAGTTTTCATGGCATTGTGAGCCTGTGTGTGAAACTAGAGAGTGATGACTGAGTGATACTGAGAGCCTCATTATGAGTGATAGTTATGGGATCAGGCTGCACATCACAGCGGCTATGTTGATGATTATGATAGCTCTTGGGCTGTAGGAGCCCCTCCGGAGTCTGTAACACACCCCAGTGAGCGGAGTTGATATTATTGAGGGATGGATCTTCCCTGGACATGGATCTTGTCTGAAGTATTTATTTCGGGAGATAGATCTTCTCCATAGGACTAGAATGGCCTTCCTCGGTACTGAGTGACTGTTGTCAGTGATGTGTGTCGGCTTCCCTAGTTCCATGATAGGCGTCATCACGATCGGGTTAGTTTTGGATCGTAATAAGTTGGTATCAGATTCTAGGTTACATAGGTCTCCTGAGTCATGATCAGGTTTAGTAGAGTCTCGCGGATCGATACGGAGATGTCTGTACTTATCTTTGAGAGGCTACAAAACCTTTAGGAAAACTTCACATTCTTGAATTCTTGTAGTGCGAATCTGTTGATTCTCGTAACTAAACTTGTGTTATTCTATTCTCTCATAGATGGTGAAGACACATGCTACCGGTCAGGATGGACGACCACCAATAACACCAATTGGGGACGCGAAAAACCGTGGTCGCGGTCGAGGCCATGGCAAGGGCAGGGGTATAGCCCGTACGGCTGCTAGAGCAGCACCTACAGATTTACCAGCTGCCCTAGTTCATGATCACGTCCCAGTTGTAGATGCTCCAGCGGGACCAGCTTAGGCACCGGCAGTGCCTATTGTTATCCCAGATCTTCAGGAGACCTTAGCCTAGATTCCGACCGTGTGCACCAGTCTTGCTCAGGCGGTCATTGTTTCTACTACAGCAGCTACTTCCCAGGCCAGATGAGGCATTTAGACTCCCACCAGCCATACACCTGAGCAGGTTGTTCAGGGACTACAGATACCGGAGGCACCACCAGCCCAGCCGATTGTACCTGCTCAGTATTATATGGTTCCGGTCATGCCTGATGATGAGCAGCATAGATTGGAGAGGTTTGGTAGACTTTAGCCTCCAGCTTTCGGTGGTACAGAGGGCGAGTATACACATGGTTTCTTGGACAAGTGTCAGAGGATTCTTTGTACAACGGGTATTTTGGAGACAAATATGGTATCTTTTGCTACCTTTCAGTTCTCTGGAGCTGCCTTTACTTGGTGGGAGGCTTATGAGAGGCGTAGGCCTGTTGGTGCAATTCCCCTTACTTGACATCAGTTCTCCATTCTCTTTTTGGAGAAGTATGTGCTGCAGTCCCCCAGAGAGTAGTTGCGCAGACATTTCGAGTACTTGCGTCAGGATAATATGACTGTGACGCAGTATGAGATGAGGTTTTCTGAGTTAGTCTGTCATGATGTTTGGTTGGTCCCTACAGATATGGAGAGGATCAATAGATTCATGGATGGCTTCGCATATCAGCTACAAATTCTTATGACTAGAGAGAGAATGTCCGGTGCTTCTTTTGAGGAGGTGGTTGACATTTCCCGAGAGATAGATTCGGTTCGCCGCCAGGCGCGAGTTGAGAGGGAGGCCAAGAGGCCTCAGGGATCTGGTAGTTTTGGTGGTGTTCCTTCTGAAGGTCAGTTCCAACACGGTAGAGGTCGTCCATTCAGACATGCTCAGTCAGCTCGTCGGGGTCACCGTGGTGGATCATTTGGCCATGGTTCTCACAACTCACATCACGGCCACTTATCTCTCAGTGCCCTTTCAGCTCAGAGTTCGACTCATGCACCATCAGTTCAGGGATCATCTATGCCTAGTTCTTCTAGTGGATATCCCGGTTCTCAGGGCTCCCTTCAGTCCCCACCGCCATTTACCGGGAGAGGTTACTTTGAGTGTAGAGATTTGGGTCATATCAAGAGATTTTGTCCCTGCCTTATGGGAGGTTCATCTCAGCAGAGGAGTCAGCCTTTAGCTTCAGCACCAGTTACTTCCTAACCCGCCCAACTAGCTCGGGGTAGAGGTCAGTCATCTAGGGGTCGCCCTAGAGGGAGAGGCTGATCAGGTGGCGATCAGGCCCGTTTTTATGCACTCCCTACAAAACCGGATGCTATTGCTTCAGATGCTGTGATCACAGGTATTATATCAATTAGCCACAGGAATGCCTTTGTATTATTTGATCCTGGTTCCACCTTTTCATATGTGTCGTCATATTTTGCTCATTATTTGGATACGCCCCAGAAGTCTCTTGTTTTATCTATTTGTGTATCTATTCCGGTAGGTGATACTATTATTGTGGACCACATATATCGGTCTTGTGTGGTGACCATTGGGGGTTTAGAGAGCCGAGTAGACCTTTTGCTGCTTAGTATGGTTTATTTTGATGTGTTATTGGGCATGGATTGGTTGTCTCCGTGCCATGCTATTCTGGACTGTCACGCTAAGACGGTGATGTTGGCTATGCCGGGGGTGCCACGGATTGAGTGGCGAGGTTCGTCGGATTATGTCCCTAGTAGAGTGATCTCATATTTGAAGGCGCAGCGGATGGTTGGGAAGGGCTGTCTTTCTTATTTTGCCTTTGAGGGATGTCCATGCAGAGACTCCTACTATTGATTCAGTCTCGGTGGTGAGGGATTTTCCGAATGTGTTTCCTGCAGACCTATCGAGCATGCTGCTGGATAGGGATATTGACTTCGGTATTGATTTAGTGTCGGGCACTCAGCCCATTTCTATTCCACTATATCGTATGGCACCGACGGAGTTAAAGGAATTGAAGGAGCAACTTCAGGAACTCCTTGATAAGGGGTTCATTCAGCCTAGTGTGTCACTTTGGGGTGCGCCTGTTCTATTCGTGAAGAAGAAGGATGGCACTATGATAAAGTGCATTGATTATAGGCAGTTGAAAAAAGTCACAATCAAGAACAAGTATCCTTTGCCTCGTATTGATGATTTATTTGACCAGCTTCAGGGAGTGAGGGTGTTCTCCAAGATTGACCTCAGGTCAGGGTATTATCAGTGGAAGATTAGGGACTCGGACATTCTTAAGACAGCTTTCAGGACCCGATATGGTCATTATGAGTTCCTTATAATGTCTTTTGGGCTGACCAATATCCCAACAACGTTCATTCTTTTGATGAACAACGTGTTTCAGCCTTATCTCGACTCGTTTGTGATTGTATTTGTCACACCTCTTTTTTCACTACCCCGGGGAGGGTATAAGGGAGTTTTTTCCAACTTAAAGTGACAATCGAAACGGGATTATTTATTTTAAATTCAGAGTCGCCACTTGGGATAATTTTATAGTGTCCCAAGTCACCGATTTTAAATCCTGAATCGAGGAAAAGATTGACTCTATTTTACAGTCTGCGAACACAGAAATCCGGGTAAGGAATTCTGTTAACCCGGGAGAAGGTGTTAGGCATTCTTGAGTTCCGTGGCTCTAGCACGGTCGCTCAACTATTAATATTGGCCTATTTATTTGATTTTAAAATACTTTTGAACCTATGTGCATTTTTACTTTCTTTTAAACCGCTTTTAATAATCCGATTGTTATTCAACTAATTACTTTGGTTATACATTGCGAATCATGTCATGGGAACCGTACCCACAATCTACAATGTATTTATTTTATCAACAAGATTAAATTGTGGTCAGGTCACATAAATGTACCCCCGGATTTTGGAAATTAAACGTCACAACTACGTCACAAGAACCATACCCGTAGCTATGACAATTATTTAACTAACGCGCCTAAAGCAAACTACGAGAATTCGAGGCATTTTTACACTAGTTAAGATAACTAATATGAGGGCCATAGATTATAGGATTTTATTATGAGAGGAATAAAACAAATTAGTTATAGGGAAGTGTATTAGCTTGTTGCCTTATTGATATTTGGATCTGTCTCTATTTAAACCCATATACACTTAAAAGGGTAAATTCATACAAGATCAAACAAAATATTCAACATTCCCAAATTAACCGTGAAATACAACCAAAGGCTTAAACTGACGAGCTCATTACGACAAAACGAAGAAAATTAACACAAACGTGAGCACGAAAACATATGAACACAAACACAAAACGTGAACCCAAATGAAACAAAATACAGAGATACCTAATGGGAACACAAACGCAAACGAAACAAAATAAAATAACAATGAAACAGTAGACAAAACGTGAACACAAAGATACCAAAAAATAACATGGCCAACATGGTTTCGATTACTTACAGAATGAGAATTTTCTATTGCAGACCCACAAACATATGAATTCACCATAATACAATGAACAATTATTCATTTATAGTGGCTAGACATATAAATACGAGAAATTTTCCAATTACATGGCTACGGATTTCACTTGGGAAAATGTTAATCAAACATGACTGATGAAAGCACACGTTATAATTGTAAAATAAATCCCATCTTTTAGTGGCTCTTTCAAAGTTTGATTCACAGTAATTAGCAAAATAAAGAGGAGTTAATATAAATGAACTTGTTAAGTGCTTCTCCTTTAATATGTAAAGAAATATGTTTTGTAACAGATTCAACAAGATGAAGTCCCAAAGAAAATACAGCAACAATATGAAGCAGGAATCGAGAACCGACCTCTAACGGACACTCCAAATCGAAAGCCCATTTCAGCTTGACCCTATCATTGAAAATAAATTTCTGAAATTGAAGAATGAAGAGAGCAACGACTATGGTATTTTAAAAGGGGTGAGTCAGCTGCTTTTGATTTTAGTCACTCCTGGTCCCCTCTGTTCTTCTTCTTAATTTCCCCCTTTTCTAATTTTTCATCCATTTTTGTGCAGGTCCGTTCTTTGCTTTTTCTCGGGTGTGCATATTTGATCTTCTTAAAATAAAGGGTGGAGGAGTTATTAAGTGTGTATATGATTATATGTGGCTTCTTTCTCAAATCAGAGTTTGAAAAATATGATGGGTTCAAAGAGATTTCTTAGAAGGGGGTCCTTGCCGTAGAGGAATTTTCTTCTTTTTGCTTTGTGTGGTCTTTTGCGGCTGTTTTGGTTGCCTCAGGGCTTTTGGAATCAGTTAGGTCTTTGTGATGGAGAAGATGATAAATCTGATTTTGNGGCTTTAAGACTTGGGCCTTTATAACCCAATTGGCTTAATTAACCAAGAATTTATCCACCCTACATCAACTCTTGCCTAAAAAAATAAAAAAAAACAACGATAAAAATACTACCAAAGTATTAATTAGCCCTACTTAAGTAGAAATAACCATTAAAATAAAACTAACCATTAATGAAACAATTTGTTTTTTGTTAATTTTCATTTTCTTGTAATAAAATAAAGTAAAAGAGTCAAAATTAATTGAAATAACAATATTAGGCCTAAATTAAATATTTACATGCTAAAATATAAAAACTCTTGGGGAGGGTCAATAATCACATGTCTACAGCTGCCCCTCTTTGACTGGGAATGCGAACAGTTTTCAGACAAAGAATGACTAGAAGGGTTTTTTGACCTGACCCTTATTTAAGGAGACCAAAACTAAGAGAAAGGGGGATGTGACCGAGCCCTGGTATCTGAGCTGCCTACATATCTTTGGCTATAAAGGAATCAGGCCACGTGTAGTTCAGAAGTAGAAATAGTGATGGAGTATACTGAGGTGGAGAGCCGATCGAGGTGCCGTTCCGCCGAGGTTCCGGTTCGCGGTCCTGTTATTACATAAAAAATCATAAAATAAAAAGATTAACTAAGCCTGTCAATTATGAGTTACAAAATTCCTATCTATAAGTCTTCTGAAGCTTGATCTTGAGTCTTGAATGGTTCTTCATGCAGACTTTAGATTTGAACCTTGATGCTTGCTAGTTGCAGGTGCTAGTTCATTCTTCTTCAGCTTTTCGAATCTAAATCGGACATACCATGCTTGTGAATTCAGTCATGTCTTGAGCAGCTCACATCTTTCATCATATTCTGCATTTGGATTCACTTCTTGCCTTTTTTTATATTCTGGATCGTGACTAACTTCTTTTGATCACCTCGGACTTTTGACTCGCATTCTTGCTGTGAGCTTCTTTTGTTGCTAACTTGAATTGCATTCTGAAGTGAATTCCCTTATTCTCCAGGTAGGTGCCTGATTTCCAATACTCAAACTGTCTTCCTTCGAAACTTGGACTGCCTTCTCCTTGTTCTCCAGGTGGGCGCTTGATTGCCAATACTTCCACTGATTTTCCTCGAAACTTGAACTATTTTCCCTTTGTTTTCTAGGTAGGTGCCTGATTGCTGAATTTGAATCATCTTTCTTTGAACATTGCTGCTTTCCCTTTGTTCTCCAGGTGGGTGCCTGATTACCAACATTTGCACTGTTTTTCCTTGAGACTTGAACTGCTTCTCCTTGTTCTCCAGGTGGGTGCCTGATTTCCAACACTTGCACGTGTTTTTCCTTGAGACTTGAACTGCTTCTCCTTGTTCTCCAGGTGGGTGCCTGATTTCCAACACTTGCACGTGTTTTTCCTTGAGACTTGAACTGCTTCTCCTTGTTCTCCAGATGGGTGCCTGATTTCCAACACTTGCACTGCTTTTCCCTCGCGACTTGAACTGCTTCTCCTTGTTCTCCAGGTGGGTACCTGATTTCCAACACTTGCACTGTTTTTTCCTCGAAACTTGACTTGTTTTTCCTTGTTCTCCAGCTGGGCTCCTGATTGCTGAACTCTTTTGAACCTCACTGATTCCCTTCATTCTCCAGGTGGGCTCCTGATTGTTGTCTTACATTGAACATTGCTGCTTCCCTTTTTTTCTTCAGGTGGGCTCCTGATTGCTGCTTCCTTTGAACGTTGCTACTGCACTTCTTTCTCTAGGTGGGCTCCTGATTATTGTCTTCCTTTGAACATTGCTGCTTCCCTTCATTATTCAGGTGGGCTCCTGATTGTTGTCTTCCTTTGAACATTGTTGCTTCCCTTCGTTCTCCAGGTGGGCTCCTGATTACCAACATTTGCGCTGCTTTTCCTCGAAACTTGAACTGCTTCCCTTTGTTCTTCAGGTGGGCTCCTGATTGCTGAACTCCTTTGAACCTTGTTGCTTTCCCTCTGTTCTCTAGGTGGGCGCCTAATTTCCAACACTTGAACTGACTCCTCTGAAACTACTGTCTGTGAACTTGATTGCAACAAAACAAAAGAAATTTTTCTGCCTCAGTTTGATATCGGGAACATCTTGGAGTGTTAATCGAATCATAGTACCCAAAAGCTTTAAGAATTTAAAAGCTAAATCTCATTATCCATGAGGGTCCTGAAAACTCTTAGTTAAATGACAGCTTTAAAGCTAAATTATGTTTCTAAAGGTATGACTTTCGCTAAATCTCGTTATCTATGAAGGTCTTACAACTAAATCCCATTATCTAGAAGGGTCCTGAAGCTCAAAATCAAGTCTTATCTTAAGAGTGACAACTTTTAAGGATGAATTGTACTTCCCTACAGCAGAACTTACACTGAATTTTGTTATCTAATGGAAATTATAAAGCTAGGTCCCATTATTCAGGAGAGTCCTAAAATATTTTAAATTAAACCCTATCCTAAGAATGAAAACTTTGAAACCGACTTATATTTCCTCAAGGTAAAGCTTTGTTACTCATGAATGTTTTGAATTTTAAATTTGGTAACATTATCCAGGAGGGTATTGAGGATTTACGGCCAAACCTGTATGGTGATTGCTTTCCCTTACGGAGGGTTTCTCCGAAACAAACGAAATTTTCTACCCCCTTGTCGTGTTTTGCTTTGACTGGCTGCCTTGAACTGGCCAAGTTTTGACTTTCTGACTGATCCTCAACCGCA